GCTCCTGGATTCAGGTTTTAAATTTAAAAAGAAAAAGTAACTTTCTAAATGGAACCCACTCCCCCAGTCCCACTGCTTTCCCACTTGTATCCCAGCACAGTGATGCTTTCTCATCACTGTGGGCTGGCGAAGTTTGGAGTCATGTCCTGCCACATGCCCTTGTCATCTCAGAAAGAGCCAGCTGGAGTGTGTCACACAGCAGGAGAAAAAGGTAGCTTGTCCAAAACCCAAAATGCCATAGATCATTACTAAGGCTTTGGGGACCAAAGTCAACAGCTGTCCAGGAAGGAGAGGAAACCAAGGGAGGAGAAAATTCTTTGGCCTCAAGTGAAGCTTACTCTCTGCCTGACCCATAAAACCTGTACGGCAGGGACAGCTCTGCTTGATGGGAACTGAATGGCCAAGCACTTCTGGATGCTCATGTAGTACAAAGTGGGACTCGACACCCTTCTGAAGGACCTGCTGTCCCAGCAGCTGTGGGGACATGAGACCCTGGCCACCCCACACACCACGGCAGAGTCAGACAGAGCGGCTCAGTCTGCGCCTACCAGGGCTGTGTGTGTGTCGGAGCCAGCTTGTTCTCTGCAGTGAGAGCCCGATGACTTCATCAAGGGGATGGCATCTGGTTTTGCAGTTGGCTATAATTCAATTCTCCCCCTTGCTGCAGGAATTTCAGCTGGTGGAGCAGTGATTTACTCAGCCGGGCTGCACTTGAGTGCAAAGCAATCTTGAGGCTACAATCGAATGCACTGTTATTTTGAGAGCTCACAGACAAGGGAATAAATATCCTCTTCTTTTCATCCCAGTAGCTGCCAAGTGCAGGCTACAGAGCTTTTTAAAGGCATTTAGGAGCTCTCCTCTAACAAGTGCACTCTGGATGCTGTGCACGGTCAGGCACGACCTTGCCTTGCATAGCTCATTCCTGATCTGTGGCATCAGGATGGGATTTGCAAGGACAGCCAGACACAGGTCAGGGCACCCCTCATCTGCCCACCACAGCTGCATCTCCATGCAACCCCATTTTCCCCCAAACCCCTTCTCCATCACCCCAGCACACATCACTCTTGGATTCCAGCAGCCCTGAGCTCACCCTAGCCCTCTTCCAACCACCTGGGACCCTGAGGCTCTTTTGGTCCTGGCTTCCTACACTCCCCCTTTCTCCAAGTCTGGTGTCTGCTCCAACAGGAAAAGCAAATCAGACCAAATCAAACTCATCCAGATGGATCACAAGCCCTCATCTTTGACCTCTTTCACTGTCTCACCAACACTTATCCCTTGGGAGCAGTAGGGCTTGGCTGTGGGATCCCCTGAAGGACTGACAGGCTGAGGAGGGGCTTGCTTGGGCCACACACTGCCACGCCAGAGCCTTCGGATGCTTTATGGGCTGTGCCCATCAGGGAGCCAGAAGAGAGACCACAAAGCTCATTGTCACTGGAGCCGCAGCCTGGCTCTCCAGGGACAGCAGGTCAGGGCACAGCCCAAGAAGAGCCCCCAGGTCAGGAAGTTTTTATGGTTGCCCAGCCCTGTGAGCACTTTCATGTGCACATCCGACTCAACACAGCTGTCCATGCCACAGAGAAAGAAACCTCCACTGTTCCCATGATAAACCCAAAGTCACTCTTAACATCGCCTTGTGCCCAGTAGTCAAGGGCCAGGAATTCCACGATTTTCTGTGGAAAAACGCAACATATCCACCCCATCTACAACAAAAACAAGGCGCCTCCTTCCAGCCCCACAACGTGCCTTGCTGGCAATGGCAGAGAACTCCCTGTTCCAAGTACGAGATCAGCTCCAAGCTTGCAACAAAACAGGGAAGCCAAAATATTTCCAGGTTTACGTTTGAATCCCTCCCTTCTTCTCTGCCCTGACAACATCCCGCACAGGCGCGTTCCTCCTCTGCTTCCACCTTCCCCAGGATGAGCTCCATGTTCACAGCACTCTGGGGGTTATTTTAGCCTCCAAACCATCTCAATTTTGGCTTAATAATGCCATCACCTTCCTGCTGCTGAGACAAAAGCCATTTATTGACAACCCTTCAATAAGGTTGGATCCTTATCTGGAAACCACTGCGCTGTCTGGATGGACCAACAGCAGAAAACTCCAAATTTTTATGGAGGCAGAAGTGTATTACAGCCAAAACAGCCAAGCTGGAAACAAACAGGGAAAGCCAAAGCAAACCTGAGCCTGCCACACCTGGGGCAAAAACACCAGGGGCCAGATTCTGCAAGTACAAAAGGATTTGCAAGAAAACGAAGCACAGCCTGTACTGGGAGGCACAGGTTTGGTTCACCCAGGAGGATCAGGGTCTCAGCTGGGAGAGCACCCATGAGCATCCAACACTGGGACTTGGCACAAGCTCCAAGGAGAACTTCTGCCAAGGAAACAATGAGCCAGTGGCGTGCTCTGCCCAGACCTCCTTCCCCAGCTGCCTCACGGTCACCCTGACCTAGGGCCAGAGCACCCAGCCCAAGGGCACGGGATGCTGGGGCTGCCCAGGAGGCAGCAGGGCGAAGCCACCAGTGTGCGAGCAGCACAAGTGGGAATCCAGCCCGGGCTGCGAGCGTAGGGGGGGTTAAGCAAATAAATAAATAGGGCAGGACTCGGCGAGGCACTGATCTGACACGCCGAGCACCCGCTTGGGCAGCCTCCAGCGGCCCTGCTCACCTGGGGCTCCCAGGAGGGCTGCGAGGCCTCCTTGGTGCTGCTGGGAACCCACAAATTCCCAGGAACCACAGGGAAAAAGGATTTGGCAGGGAATAAATCCCCCTTTTCCCCTAAAAGCTTTTAAAAAAGCCCCCAGCCTCCTTGCTGCTGCGAACCTGCTGGGAACCCACAAATTCCCAGGAAACACAGGGAAAAAGGATATAGCAGGGAATAAACCCCCCTTTTTCCCTACCTTCCCACCCATAAAGCAGCTCCTTGGTGCTGGGAACTCACAAATTCCCAGGAAGCATAGGGAAAAAGGGGCAAAAGGATACAGCAGGGAATAAATCCCCCTTTTTCCCTACCTTCCCACCCACAAAGATTTTTTAAAAGCTCCCAGCCTCCTTGGTGCTGCGAACTTGCTGGGAACCCACAAATTCCCAGGAAGCATAGAGAAAAAGGGGCAAAGACGATATGGCAGGGAATAAACCCTTCTTTTTCCCTACCTTCCCACCCATAAAGCTTTCAAAAAAAGCCCCCAGCCTCCTTGGTGCTGGGAACCCACAAATTCCCAGGAAGCATAGGGAAAAAGGGGCAACAAGGATATGGCAGAGAATAAACCCTCCGTTTTCCCCACCTTCCCACCCACAAAGGTTTTTAAAAAGCCCCCAGCCTGCTCGCAGCCCACGGCACGGGGAGCCCCGTCTCCGCCTGCGCCCCGCTCCCGCGGGCTCTGGATCGCCTCGTTCTGCCAGTTCTTTGCACCTTATTTGACTGCTGAAGGGAGAATCAAACAAAGCAGCCAGCCAGATCTCCTATCAAGTTCTTTCTTGCACCGTAAATCTCACAGCCTCGACGCTCTGCAACTCAACCGCTCCAAAAAGGGCGTTAAGCAACACATAAGGGAGCAGCTCCAGAGTTTCCAGAAAAAAAAAACCCCAAAAACCAGGGGGTTCAGTTTCCAGCCTGCTGGGAATTTCCATGGGAAGAGTGGGGTCCAGAGAGACACCTCAGTGCTAAGGGCAGCGCTGAAAAGGTCTTCCTGGAAGAGGGCGAAGAGGGCAAAGATGGGAGGAAGGGCGTAAAGCAGTTATTTATTTATTTCCTACATGTGTGTGCAAGACTACTTCACCTACGGTTATGCAAAAGAAAGGCAGAGGAGATTTTAAAATTAATAAATTAGACTTTTTTTTTTTTACAAATGAAAGTATTACAAAAATAAAAAGGGAGATAGAAAAACTCTAAGGCTTAAATCTCCCTTTCGCCCTCCTGCTTTCTCTCAATTTTTTCCCCCCTTGCAAGTGAAAAAAAAAAAAAAAAAAAGAGGTAAAGAAACTGGAGAGTTTTGGAAGGAACAAATCCGCCTCTGTGGACTGGGTTTCCCCTCCCCCAACAAAAACAAGCACTCAGGGCTTGAAGGAATTTGCAGGCAGAGATCTGCCAAAAACATTGTGAAAAACTATGGGGGATTCATTGGAAACAGATGGCGTTTTCAGCTGTAATTCTGAAATTCTCCCCTTTTCTGACACAATACAAACATCGGGGCCGGGGGCGGCGGGGGGGCCGAGCCCCGCGGCGGGTGCGAGCGGCCGGCCCGGGGGTGCCGATGCTCGCGGGACCATTTGGTTGCCATCCCGCCCTCGGAGAGCACAACAGCTCCCGGCCCAGGCAGGGACAAGTTTTCCGAGCAAACGAGGCTGCCGAGCCCCCGGAGCCGTGCGGCGGCGAGCGAGAAGGGGCGGCCGCCCGCAGCGCCCGCGCATCCCCCGCCCGCCCAGGTGCGCCCCGCGGCCGCGCTCCCCCCGCGCTCTGTGGGGAGCGACCCCCGGGCCCCCATCGATCCCAAACCACACCGCAAACACCCCCCGAGCCCCTCAGAGACCGCTCCCCGGCTCTGCCCGCCGCGGAGGCTCGCAGCGTGGAGCACACACCGCTCCCACGGTAGAAATTTCCAATGGGGGTGCTCATACGTGGGTCACCCCACCGGTGTCCCCCCTTCCCTTCGCGGCAGCCGGGAAGGGCAGAACGAGGTAACCTGGCGCTGTCAGGAACACCTCCCTCCTCCCGGCTGCCTTCGCCGCTTTGATTTCCACCATCTCCTTCCTTGTGGGATGAGGAGCGGGGAGACAAAGAAGATGAGGTCAAGGAGAAACACCCACCGCGACTGCTTGGGGAGCGGGGAACTGGGGGTGCACGCACCAAAACCGAGCTCCACTTGCTTATTTTAAACATGTGGCAAACTGCTGCGAGGAGAGGGAGAGGGAAAGAGGCCCAGGGACAGGGGAACGGGGGCGGCGATCCAAGGGCTGCCAGAAACACAAGGAAAAAGTCTGCAAAATAAAGAGGCTGTTCCTTACCTGAAGGGAAGATGCAGAGAAAGACAGGGAGGATTTGGAAAAGTCCCAGGGCTGTGGATCCTGCCCCTCTCCCCATACCCATCCATCCAGCTCGAGCTTTAACCACTATCCTCTCCCTGGAAGAAGAGTTTAAAAAGGAAAAAAAAAATGACAAGGGGAGAGAGGAAAGGGGAGAAAAAAAGGGAAAAATAAATCAATCGAAAGAACTTGGGGGAAAAAAATGAAATCAAAAGCCCCGCATGGCTCCGCGGAGCGCGGCAGGCACAGGCGGCCCCAGCTCCGGGCTCTGCACTGAAAGATTACACAGACTTTTTCTCCTTCTTCTCCACCTCCTCCTCCTCCTCTCCGTCCCCTCCCATTCCAACCCAGCCCCAGCCATCAATCACCCCGCTGCCTCCCAATGCCTGCATCCTGCGCTGCGCCTCCTCCTCCGAGCGCGCCCGCCTCCCCGGCCATGCTGCGGGAAGGGGCGGGAGCGGCCGCGGCCATGGGAGCCCGGCTGGGAGGAGCGGCCAGAAAGAGCCGGGAAGGGACCCGAACAGGGGGCTGGAGATGGGGATGGGGCCACCGAGATCTGCTGTGCCCCCAGGGAAGGGGATGGCGGTGGTCTCACGCAGGATGGGTAAAGGAAGGGCTCTTGATGTGTGCCAGCATCGCAGCTCGGTGGCACTTTGGGAGAGGGGCTTATTCCCACCCCATCGGGTCTCAACACACACTGTGCCTTCCCTGCCCCTTTCCCATGGGCCTTCCAAGAGCCCTTTGATCCAAAGAACAGGGTAACCTGGCCCTGGGATCCTGCGCCCAAAAATTAAGCAGTTTGGGGTAAAGGGGCTGTGGTACAGCACAGGAGGGAAACTGAGGCAGGGAGGCTTTAGGCAGCTGGTGCAGGGTAGGGGTTGTGACAGCATCACTGAGGTCTCCAGCCTGCTGGGGGATGGTGTTCCCCCAGCACGTGGGGCTCCTGCATGTCTTCCCAACCCTGGCACCATGGTAGGTGAGAGTTTCACAACAGTTCCAGGTCATTCACCCGCACCTGCACTGGCAGTGGTGAAGTAACCCCCGGTGACTCAGAAACAGCAACTCTCTAGATCCTTATCACTAGACTGGCACTCCTTACATAGGGGCATGGCTGTCAGATGCCCAAATCCAGCTGCCAGCCCACCAAGGACTGATGGATATTAATAACAATACCTAAACTCACTCAGGGCCACCACCACTGCCTCCTCTGCACTTACGGACCTGGATGTTCACTGGGGGAAAGTCTCACTCATTATGTTGGTAGGGTTGTCCCAGGGTCTCACTTTTAAGCCTCCCTTAGAGACCCTCTGGGCAGTCCCAGGCAGTCACCAACCCTGGGATTGCCCTGCCTGCTCACAGACCATCAGATGGAACAGCAGCTTGGAGCACACAGGCATTTGCCTGCTGGGTTTCCAGATCCTGCTCTTTTCTTCCTCCTGCATTGCCACACTGTGTGGAGGTGAGCAGATTGGATCTGCATCCCCACCATCCCAGGGGTCTGTGCCACCCATGAGAGGGCTAGGCTGGGAGGAAGGCATCCACTTAGCTTGGATCTCTTAACAATTCCCCTTGAGGGATGTTTTAGCCACAGTGAACTAAGACCACTTCTGAATGAGGGTGCCCACGGGTGTAGGCTTTAATGACTTCCCTGTTTTGGATCATTAGCTCCCCTTTGATGGCATGTCCCCTTGCCATCCGGATGTTTCATCTCCTTTCTTTTGGGGTTCTTGTGCAAAGAATAAAAGGATGCTGGTTATTTCACACCACCCTTCTCCCAACTCTGTAAGACCATGCTTCTTTCCTCCTGCACGTTGGTATAGGTTGGGATACTCCTTGACATTTCTTCTAATTATTCTTGGAAACCTCCTCTTCTAGCTCATAAACATCCTTAAGGATGCTTTTTTGAGTGACTGTGGCTTAAAGTTTTTAATAGCATTTTGTGATCTCCTTCCTATCATGGATTGAATCTGTGATCCAGTACAACAAATATCCCATAGAAAGAGGAAGAGGAGATGGGAATAAATATCCAAGAAGCAAAGATATCTTTTAACACCTATCTATTTCTCCATGAGGGGAGTGAGCCCCCATGCCTCCAAAGAAGGAGGAGCTTCTCTGGGGCTTTATCCAGGCTGCAACAGGAATTAAAACACTGCAGCTTTTCCATCTGGGACCCAGATGGGATCCAAAAATCCTGTGGCCCTGCCTGCCTAATGGAATATCTGCTTTGGTCCTGCTGGTCCTAGAGCTGTGCTCAGATGGTGTCCACTAAAGTCAGAGGGAGCTCTGTGTGCAGAGGAGCTGCCAGAGTGGGCAGAGCTGGGCAGGAGATGAAAGCTGGCAGGCCGGATCCAGACCTGTAGCAGAGGCAGTGTGGGAGGAACGCCGACTCGAAGCACCTCTTTGTGGGGGATGTCAAACAGGGGCAAGTATGTCCAAACCCTGCCAGCTGCTCCTACCACCCAAGAAGAAATGCCTGCTGATGGGATGTGTAGGCAGCTGGAGCTGGAAGGGGCCTAGGGGGAGGAGAGAGAGGGTCTGTGAGCTGGGGAGAGCCCAGGGAAGGGGGGGAGATCCAGGGGATGGGGCTCCAGACCTCAAATCCCTTCCTCTTGCTCCCACCCTCTCCTCTTGCAATGCGACTTTTGCTTTTATTTCAAAATAAAAATCATAATTTCTGCTGTTATCCTGCCTGATGACATTTAACACGATCTGTTTAACTAAAAAAAACCCATCTGAATTACGAACTTTTAAAACCCAGCTGTTAAATAGCTGCTGCGAGGCTGCTTTGATGGTTTGACCTAAAGCACCACTTTGGTATTGCCGTTTTGGGGCAGGCTGACACATTGCAGTGATAGCCTGGAATCCAGTCTGAGGCATTACAGTTAAAATAAGACCCTTGATGGAAATTCTGCCTTTGGTGTAGGGAAAACTGTGCTGCCATAAAGCAACGGTCGGATGCCCCTGGCTCCAGTTTGTAAAAATTTCTCCTTGATTTTGCTCCGTTGCATCATGCATTGCAAATGGGATTGCTGTTCTTGGCACTGATCAAAGCAGCGGATTTCGCTGGAGAAAACAACAGATGTGTCCAAACCGTAACTTCGGGGAGGAAAAGGCCCCAAATAAGGTGTGTTTCTGAAATCCTGCTCCCCCTTACACGTCTTTGAAATAAACTTCACCTTTCTGTTTAGCTGAATCAAATCTTTGGACTTTAAATCACTTCTGAATCAGAGGCTGTGTGAAATTCAGATTCTGTGCCCTGCTTTATCGGGATGGCTAGGCTTGGAAATGTGGAACTACTGCCTTTCCCCCAACTTCTTTCCTTCTCAAAGCCCATGCAGCACTCCCTGTTCAGGCAGGGGTGAGCCTGATGCTCCTTGCAAACAGAATGTGGGAAACCACCCACCGCTGACATGCAACCACGGCAGCGGCTCAGCTCCGGGGCACAGGCACCTCTGTGGTCATCTGCACCTTGTTGCCGTGTTTGCTGTCACTGTGGAGGGCTGACATGCAAATCACAGCCTTCTCCGAGGCATTTGCAGGATGCTGGAAGAGTCTCAGATCCCGTGGGACACTCAGCTGGGCTGAACTTTCCTTTTCTCTGCCCTGCGTGGCTGTGGGCTTCAGTGGGGCTGAGTGAACGTGGCTGATTTGAAGCCGGAGGTTTGCAGATGAGGGCTGCCCTCACAGCCTTCCTAATGGAATCATGCACTACCTGTAATTATATGGCTAAAATAGTAAACATGGGTATTTCTGAGGGCTGCAACTGGTAGTTAGAGGAGTGGATGTCGGGGCTCCTGGTCTGCTCCTGACTCTCCCGTGAACTTTCTGTGTGGCCACTTTTCACACCACTATCTCCACACTCCTGCTCTGCCTCAGGACACGGTGTTCAACTCGTGGCTTGTCTGGGATAAGCCATAATCACTCCTGCAGGAAGCTAATCCTGAAACGCTCTGCAGGGATATGGGTGTGTTTGGGGTGAGCAGCAAAAAAGCAAGCTGCTCCTTAAAGGAGGAAGAAAGGAAGTTTGGAACGGAAACCCCCAAGTTGTTGCCTGGAGAGGTTTGATGACTGATCCCAAAATGTTTGTGAAAATAAAAGCAAACACTTGTGCATTGAACAATTCCCTTACTAAAGAAAAACACCCCCTGAATAAGAAGACCAAAAAATCCCCCAACATCTTTATGCAGTAATAGCCACCTCTGATATCTGCAATTAAATTTAAAGATCTTCCTTTTATTTAGATGCCAAATATGCATCTAAACTTCTTCCCTACCAATATTTCCTTGCAGGTAGAGCAGGAAAATGTCCTCCCAGGATCTCCTTAGTGCCCTGCACTGCACTTTGGCATCAGCTGGGCTTTGAAGGGTGACCCACTCCTGCGTAGCAAAGTGCAGAGAGGAGTTTGTTGGTTTATCTAAATCCTCCTTCCCACAGCTGTGAACATCAGCCTCACCAACCTGGCTGTGTAAAAAGAGGCCAGTTGTGAAAGGTGGAAAAAAAAAATTACATCTTTGTGCCACCAGTAAATGAAATGTAAGAACTCTTTGTTGACCTGCATCCTCGCATCTGCAGATTAACTGATTATCAGCAACCCCCACTGAAGTCACAGTGGGTAACCTTCTCTCCTCAAATTGCCTGCTCCAAGCCCACAGCCGTAAAAATCACCTCTAAATGCTGAGAAACAGCCAGGCTGTATAACGGGAAGGGAAGATGGGCTGGTAGAAAACTTCCAGTCTTACCCATGACAGAAAACAAAACAAGCAGGGTTATTTTAAGGCAATTAGAGTTCATCACATTGACTTCTTTTTTTTGCACTTGTTAACACTCATTTGTGTCTCTCCCTTTCCCTGGCCTGCAAAGCCCTGGGGGGCAAGGCCTAATTCCTACACATGGGAATATGTAACCATCCCTTGTTCGGCAGTGTTCGGAGAGCTCGCTGGAATTCACCAGCTGTATATTTCATTCTCTGCAGGGGGCTGGTCTGCCTGGCCCAGTCTCCTCTTGGGGGTAGATATCAAGCAATATCTCTGTAGTGTATCTTCTTCACATCTGGGCTCCCTTCTAAGCAAAAACAGAAGATGGGCTGGGAAGTTCCCTAGAGCAAGTTCAAATGGCCAAAAGTCAGCTCAGCAGAAAAGATGGCTAAGTCTGAACTGCCAAAAAATGATCAGAATCACAGAATCACAGAGTGGTTGGAGTTGGAAGGGCCCTTAAAGAACATCTAGTTCTGATTCCCCTGCCATGGGCAGGGACACCAGGAGAATTGCAGAGAACAGGGTGCTTATCAGCAGAGACAGAAGCCAGACTGTGTGATGGGACAGTTTTTCTCTGCTGCTTTTAAAAGCTCCTGACACGTCGAGAAAGTGCAAACATAGCTCACCAATTCCCCTCCTCTGACTGACAGGTCAGCTAAGGACATCTCCTCGATCCTGTTTAAAGGTGGGAGATGGCGTCGAGTGTTTGCAAGCCTACATCTGCAGCCCTTTGAGCAAGGGCTGTTTGAAGGATCCTCTGGACAAAGCTCTGTGAAACCCAATCAGGCTTGCCAGGTCTCCCTCTGTCAATTTGCAGCAGCAGTGGCCAGAAATACAACCCAACACAGGATGCCTTTCCTGCACATTCTCAGTTGGGAGGCACTGAGCGACAGTGACCTCAGCTGATTTAAAACTTTGTCCTGAATATCGGAGAAACAGACATTCCTTCTTATGGGGGGAAAACCCCCAAACCCAAACAACTTTAATCCAGCACTTCTGTGGGTATTTTGGCCAAGGAAAATGGGAGTTTTTGTGAAGAGGGAGCATCGTGGAGTTGGCACCAGGAGTCCTCCCGGGCGTGCCTGGCTTGGGGCTGGGCTGGGTTAGGGTTGGGCTGGGATTAAGGCTGGGGTTTGAGCTGGGACTAAGGCAGGGCTGGAGCTGAGCTGGGACTGGGATAAACTGGGCTGGTACTGGGCTGGACTGGGATTGGGCTGGGCCGGGGCTGCGGCCCCACTGGGTGGTGCTGTTATCCCTGCGCCGCCTGCAAAAGTATCCAGTTTATAAAATAAATGTAATCCAACGCCGCCTTAAACCACATGACATAACAGCAGCTTGCGAGCTCCCATTAAAATCTCAATTTGGGGAAATTGATTCTACCTCTGAGCAATTGCGATGCAATTACTCCAACAGGCAGCAATCAAGAATCACATCAAAACACCACCAAACTTTCATCTCCTGCCTCACAACCACTACCACAACAAAAAAGCACCTGTCTTGCAAGCGCAGCCCGGTTTCCATAAATATATGGAATTTTTAGGAAGGGCAACGTGCATGTCCCAGAGCGGAAGCTCGGACAGGGGCTGCTCTGCCTGGTGCGTTGGACCTGTCCTGTCTGGGGGCTTTATTCTGTCCCCCCCGTCTCCTGGAGGAGATTTTTGGGCTATTTACGGGCTCAGGACATCAGGAACGGAGTCGCTCCCGCTGCCCTGCCGCACTCCAGCTGCCCATCCTCTCCCTGCACAGATGTGCCCGTCCCAGCCGTGTCCCACATCTGTCCAGCTGTCACCCCCCGCCCTCCTCCCCTCGGGGCTCCTAAACCCCCCAAGCACTTCGGAACCAGGGGAGAGCTTTGTGTCCCCGCTCCGGTCTCGATAACCGCGATCAGCCCCGGGATGAGCAATCCGAGGGAAAGGGGGGAAATATTGGGGAGGATGTTTACAGTTCTCATCAGTGGTCTGCAAGGAATTACTCGACTGACTTAGCGCAGCAGGGAGCAGCCTTAGTGGCAACCATCAGAAAGGAGGATAAATGAATAACCTCATGCATGCCAGCTAGCGCCGAGCCGGGCAGGGGGAAGCGGGAATAATCCAGGTTCTTCATAAAAACGGCCGGGAAAGGGGGAGGCAGGAGGGGACCGGGAGCCTCAACAGGTCCGGAGGAGGAAGGGCCATGCAGGGAACCGGGGGACATGCGGCCGGGGGTCCCCAGCCCCCTCCCCGCTTACCTTGGCGGCCGCATCAGCCTCTCCAGCCCCGCGGGGGTCGGTGCAGGCAGCGGCGGCTTTTTTTGATTTAATATTCTTTTTTCCAAGAGGGGTAAATAAAACAAAAATAAAAAACGAAATAAAATAAAACCCAAATGAAATAAAAGAGTAAAAGCCCCCACGGGTGTCAGCGGGGGTGGCGGGGCGCTGGAGGCCGAGGGGCGCGGGCAGCCCCCCGCCCTGCGGGCAGCCCCGGCGGGGTGCAGGCGGCCTCGCTCAGCGGGACGCGGGGAGCCGCATCGCCCTCCCGGAGCATGTGAGAGGCAGCCGAGGAGATAGAGCCAGATAGGGAGGTCCCCTCCCTCCTCCCTCCTTCCCTTCTCCCTCCTCCCTCCTTCCCTCCGCGCACGCTGGGCAGCGTCGTTCGCAAGGAGCGGCGGCGGGAGGGAGGCGCAGCCCCGCGAAAGGGGGGGCTGGGGGTCTCCGCTGTTACACCCCCGACCCCCAGCACCCCCTCTCCGTGTGCAGGCAGACAGGGCTGGGGGACGTAGAGGAGGATTTCAGGGTTTTCTCGGAGTGGCGGGGATGCTCCACCTGCAGCAGGAGGGGGTGAAGGGGAAGTGGGGTTTGAGGGGCACCCCCCTGTCCAGCCCCTGAGAGCATCTTTACATTGACGGGGGATGGTGACAAAGACTGGCACTGGGGGCGGGAGGAGGACCCTCAGCAGGACTGTGCGATGGGGAAGGGATGGAGACCCCAGGCTGCTCTCAGAGCCCCTCAGTGTAGCTGCCCACCCAGCTGCCCCACACCCAGCATTGCCGGGAGCTGGGCACTGTGGCAGCGCGCCCTCCAGTCCCCCCAGCACTCCTGGTGAGAGGCCTGTGGGGGCTGGTTTTGGCAGGCACGGGTACCAGGGCGATGGGAAAGCTCTGGGTGCCGGGCTGTGCCAACCCAAGTGTCAGACACACAATTAATTACTGCACCCCCAGAGCCACAAACACTAAATATGCTGCCGCCGTAGCGTGTGGATAATAGCAGCTCTTTGCAAAGTGTTTCTTTCTCCTCTGTGTGCAAGAGACAGCGACTGCAGAGAGCACACAGCAGCTCTCCACTGCTTGATTAAGTCAGCAGTGAAGACAAAATGTGCCTGTACAGCTCAGGCTTAAGGAAGGATTTGAGTGTGTGTAAGGTACAAATTAGAAAATGGATGTGATTTAATCACAACAAATCTAAACAGACCCGCTACAGAAACCTTGCCATCAAAGAGGGCTTTCTCTTAAATGTGGGCACAGTGAGTATATAGTCCTGACAAAGGAACAATGTGTTTGGGGATGGGTTATTAAAGCAGGAACAGAGAGAAGACTGGGGAAAGCCTGATGTATACCAGATAAGTTATCAGTTATAGAAGGAACGGCTTCCTTCCGTAATAATTATTTGCAAATCAGTCCTCAGCTCTGGACACTGTGGTATCTGGACACCACAGCAGAGACAGAGCAGCTTCTGTCAGGCTTGGGATGCTGCACAGACAGGAAACCAGGCACAGCCCCTGCCTGGGAGAAGGTAAACTGCTTGTTCAGAGGAGCCCAAGTGAATGCAGCAGACAAAGAGGAGGGGGGAGAAGCGATGGCAAGGCCAGGCCTTCCTGCAGGTGTGCACAGTGGGTCGGGCGCGAGTCCCAGGCTGTAAAATACTGTACACTGGAGCGTTACTAATCCCAGCTCTGGGGGACTGTGCCCCTGCTGGCTGGGGGGCACTGCCACCGCCACCACAGCAGCTCTGGCTGGGCTGGGGAAGGGCTTCCCTGAGAAGACAAAGCACAAGACAGAAGAATGCTAATGCACGGGGCGCTGAGGTGCCTTGGTAACAGCAGCAGAGCATTGCGGCGGCAGCAAATTGGTGCTGGGCCCGGATCCTGTTGGGAGCCAGGAGCCCCAGAGTGGGGAGGCTCCACCAAGGCACAGCTGCATTCGTGGGAACTCTCAGAAGTCTCCGCTGGCCGCTTCCCCCGGCTCTTATCGGCGCGCCCGTTAATGTTTGGCATCACAACAGGAGTCGGCACTTCCAGTTCCAGGTGCAAGGTGCATGTCTTTGACCTTGCCATTTCCTCCATAAACTCCCTGCGAGGTGTGAGAGCAGCAACGGCCCTGCATGGGCACCTTGTGGGGAGCTCAGCCCCTCTGGTGACAGCAGCACCCAGCTGGCAGGGCAGGGGTGGGGATGACTGCGGTTCCTGGGGCAAGAGAAGGGTAAACTATTGTCCTTGCAGGGAAACTCCACGAGTACTGATGTAAATTTGGTCCCCAAGTTAAAATTAGATCCAGCATATTCAGATTTCCCATTTCTTTGCTTGTCTGGTGAATCCCCAGTTTAGTGCCTGTGAGCAGTTTCTTAGCCCTGGAGATGAATTTGCCACTCTGCCTGCACAGGGACCTTCCTGGCCACAAACCAAACAAAGCAAACAGCACCAGTAGAGTTTGTCCTTCCAAGTATGATTAAGACAACGTGAGTGAACAGGCAGTTAAAGGAGGAGCTTGGCCATGGGAGAAAAGGAGCATAAGACCCATTATCAAGAGGCAGGTGGCTGTCCTGAGAAGCAGGAGGACTCAGGTGACCCAGGGAATATTGATAGGTTGGGATATGCCGTAGAATCATAGAATGGTTTGGGCTGGAAGGGACCTTAAAGATCATCCAGTTCCAGCCCCCGTGCCATGAAATATGTGGCAGAGATCACAGCTCACTGACACTGATGGAAATCATCTTCAGTAGTTTTTGGGCATCACTAGGCTGATGTGCAGGTGCAACTGAGGCCATGAGACACACGAGCTTTTCATCTGCCATTTCCATCCATGCATGAGGATTGCCTAAACCTATTATTTTGAAGGCATTTTCCATGCTGCAGCTATCTTCCTTGACCTCTAAAAGATCTGGCTGATCCTGATCTCGAGATGAAAGATTGCCACCTCACGGGCTGTGAACACCCGTCTGTGAGATTAGGCCCTGAATTATTAATACAATCAATGACTACCTCTTTTCATCCTGGAAGAGGCACAAAGGAAAGCTACGGGGGCCCTGAAAGGGAGGGAGGATTCTCAAGCAAGGGAGGAAGAAGTCACCAGTGGAAACTGGTTTTCTTTGGGTGGAAAAGCCTCCTGTGTCTGTTTTATTTTGGAGGCAGGAACAATGGCACCATTCAGGAGGTGACAACCCAGCTGTGTTGGTAGGGCTGAGGGTGGCACTGGGAAACCTGTGTCCCCAAGGGAGGGCATTCTTCCTTCCAGCCCCTCTCCTGCATTCAGTGCACTAAAATGGGGGCCCAAAGAGCCTGAGCTGCAGAGCTAAAGCTGGAGCCACCGAGGAGAGGAGGAGCTGGGGAGCAGGGGATGTGTTCATCCTTCCAGTGCACAAAGCTACCAACACCTACACTCACAGGTCACACCTGTGGCGTGAATGGTGGGTTTCTTCACCATGGCAAGGATGTGGACATCACCAGACTGGAGTGAGGGATGGACTGCAAGGCCAAGCTTTTACTGCCTGGCGCACAGTAACCTTTCCTTTCCCCTCTTCCCTGTGGAAGCTTCAGTGTGGGGGTGTTGTGACCATGTGCTGCTGGGTCTCTGTCCTGATCTTTACACTTTTCCATGGCTTGAGCCTATTTGGGACATTTTGGTGATATTGGCTCCTTTCCCCTTTCCCTGTTGCATTTGGGAGGAAGGTACCATGGCCCCATCCTCATCCAGAACCAGAGAAAATTCCCCAGTTCTGAGCCCCACATAGAAAATTAAGCTAGTTGGAAACCAAAAATAAAATACTATCTTTGCTCCGTTTTTCAAGAGGTTAAAAAAAATGTATTGTGCTAGTGAAGCTATTCTTTCTGGGTAGATATATGTATGCATGTAAAGCATTGCTTCAGTGCTGCCCAAAATGTCTGAGAAACATTTTTTTCCCCTCCTTTTAATTAAAGTTCATATTAACATTGCAAATAAGATAAGAAAAGAAGTGTTCAGTTACAATTATGTAGCGCTTTGTGATCACAAACAGATTCTGTAATCCCTACTCAGGGGGTTTCAGAGCTGAATTTAGCTTATTTCAGAGTACAAAGTTGAGCTCAGCCAAGACTGCTCTCCTACCCTGTATGATCCTCATCTGTGCTCTGGGTCACACAAGGGACCCATGGCAAGCCAGGCTGCACAGCCAACAACATCCCACAGATGCATCAGCTGCCCTGGCTGGGGACCAAACCTCCTTTTTGCCTAGGCAGCTATTTATTAATATTCTTCTACCTATTACTTTTAAACTGATGCTTGCTTCGAGCATCAAAACCTGGTACTGGTTCAGCTGCAGCTGCTGATTGTCTCATTCCTAGAGATGTGAAGCTCTTCACTGTGGCTGAAAGTGAGCATTTATGGGCTCTGACCTGGGCAGTGTTGTCCTCTCCTAAGCAGGGCCATGGCCCATGGGCAAAGGCAGGATCCTGAGCAGGTGGAAATATTTCTCCTCCCTCACCTGTGCTTCTAAACTGTTTGACCTTAAAGAATTTGCAGCAGGCATGGGAGTAGTCCCCTGGGTTCAGCATGGCCGTGCTGTGTTTAAATTTAGGCACGAGTTGAAATACCTGACTGAGAGCCTTGGGGTGACATTTACAGTAGAGCAACCCCTGGCACTTAATGGACTTAACAGAGCAACGCAATCCACAGCAAATGTGAGACTCAGTGCCAGGCTGTGCGTGGATAAAGCTGCAGAGACAGGGAGATGGACAGGAGTCAAGTGCATCTGGGCTTCTGGAGAGCAGCCCCAGCTGCTCACGGCTTCTGCTGTCACTCCTTGACTCCATGTCACGAGATGGAAAGAGCAGAGGATGGAAGGTCAGTGGCAAGAGGATGCCCTCTCCACAAAAATAGTCCTTTGCTGTGCTGCAGAGCTCCACCTCCGTTTCCAGGCAGCTGTTAGAGAAACATTTTGACATCGTTATGTCTCCTTGAGCGATCCATCGAGAGGAGCTTAGGGACGCATTAGGGTTTTATGTGAGTTTAGGTTGCAGTTTGCACAAGTGCTTTGTTCCTAAAGTGCTGATTAGGTTTGCTGCAGACACTGGTCCGTTAGAGGCAAGTCTGGCTACAAGGTGAAGAAAAAGTCACCTGCCAAGCAATCTGGAGAGCTTAGGCCTCCCCAGATGATTCAGTTCCATCAGGAGATTCATGCAGGACACCACCACAAGAGTCTCCAGTTCGGAAGGCCACATCTGGGGAGTGAGTGGTGAGGTAAAATTAAATTAAATTGAAAAGTTCAGCCAAAGATTTTGGGATTGTTCTGGAAAGA